AGCCAACCAATATCATTCAGTTCACATTTCATTTGTCTAGAGCAAAACATGTGGCCTCACTTAAATTCAAGAGGATAAGGAAGTGTACCCATTCAATTTGCCCAGAAGGAAGAGAACTAAGATATATGTGAATGAACCTGAAGGCTACTATGATGTCATGTCATACAGATTTTTTCACTTTCACAAGATCAAATCAGTCACTTTATTTCCTCTATGTATTGTATTTTGTATTAAAAGAACTTCTCCAAGATTATAAGATCCCAAAGTTATGAGATGCCTCTTCTGTTTTGCCTCTAATGTGTCTAAATTTTTGCTAAAACCCATTTAGTTCTCTAGCATAACTGGAGTTGTGTGTGTGTGTGTGTGTGTTTGTCTATGTGTGTCGTGTGTGTGTGTGTGTGATATTATGTCTAACCTGTTTTTCTAGGTGGAGAGCCAATTGTCCCATTCACTGGTAGAATATAACCCCCTCCACCAATTTAATATTTCAACCTTATCAATAAAATAATGTTATGTATACATTTTGATGCTTCTGTTTGATGCTTCTCATTTTAACCAATGATGTATTTGTCTGGTATATAATCCCATGGTATAAATATTTAAAATTTTTAGTAGGTAAATACCCCATCATGGTTCTTCTTTAAAAATAAATCTTGTCCGGGGATCCCTGGGTGGCTCAGTGGTTTAGTGCCTGCCTTTGGCCCAGGGCATGATCCTGGGGTCCCAGGATCAAGTCCCATGTCAGGCTCCCTGCATGGAGCCTGCTTCTCCCTTTGCCTGTGTCTTTGCCTGCCTCTCTCTCTCTCTCTCAATCTCTCTCTCTCTCTCTCATTTTCTCTGTGTCTCTCATAAATAAAATCTTTACAATAAATAAATAAATAAATAAATAAATAAATAAATAAATAAGTCATGTCCATCTTTCTCTCAAAAACTATTCTAAAGTATAGTCGTTTTCCTTTTAAACTTTAGAAGATGCTTACAAGGTCCCTTAAGAAATCCTGCTGGGTTTTTGATTGTGATAGTACAGATTTTAAGCAGATTGTGTCTTCCCAGTAGGGAACATGGTACTTCTCATCTACTTAGGTTTTCTTTTTAAGTTTATTTGGTAGAGTTTAACATTTAGTTACTGTGTAGTCCATTTTAGTTTACTTATGAATCCTACAGTTTTGTTGCCCTCATAAATGCATAAGAAATCTATTGATATTTTCCTGAATCTTACATATAGCTACCTCTCTGAACTCTATGGGTTTTTATGGGTTTTTGTTGAATTTGGAAAAAGACAATCATATATTTTTAAATAGCACCAATTTATCTCTTCTTTCCATTTTTTTTTAAATATCTTATTTATTTATTCACGAGAGACACAGAGACACAGGCAGAGACATAGGTAGAGGGAGAAGCAGGCTCCTCACAGGAAGCTGGATGCAGGACTCGATCCCAGACCCCGTGATCATGCCCTGAGTAGAAGGCAGACACTCAACTGCTGGGCTATCCAGGTGTCCCTCCAATATTTATATATCATTTAATCTTATTATCTTATTCCCTTAGCTGGATTCACATTGTATAATGACTAGCACAATTTTGAAATAGTTATAGCAAGGTCAAACAAACTCACCTCATTTATGGCAATAAAAGTAATATTTCCAATGTTAACATAAAATCATGTACCTTGCTATAGAGGCCTCTGATATCTTGTAATATGCTGTGTAAATTCATTCTATTACCAACTTACTGAATGAGTATTGCTTGTTTGTTATGTTGTTTAATAGAAAAGGAGACTCTATATTTATTAATTCACTACTTTTGTTTTCTGTAGATTGATTTTGTTATTCTCACTTAATAATGAGAGCTCTTGGGGTACCTAGGTGGCTCAGTTGGTTAGGCATCTGACTCTGGATTTTGGTTCAGGTCACGATCTCAGGGCTTTGAAATGAGCCCTGCATCAGGCTCCACACTGAGCCTGCGCACATTGCCTGCTTAAGATTCTCTCTCTCCCTCTCCCTCTGCCCCTCTGCACACATGCACTCTCTCTCCCTCTTTCTCTCCCTATCTAAAAAGAGAGAGAGAGAGAGAAAGCTCTTGGGGCTACTAATTCTCTGCTAAATACAGCTTTGGCCATTTAAATGTATATACATCAAGTTTTCTTTTTTCTAAACCTTTGTTACTCTAGGTTTGATTTCTGATTTGAACCTGCAACTTCTTTAAAAGAAATTCTTATTTTTTATTGTTGGCATTAAGGTTTTTCAAGTTGTTGAGCTATGCATTTAAACTTAATTATTAAGTTTTAGGTTTATTTCATTGTAGGCAGAGCATGTAGCCTGTAAACAGTTTATGTTTCATAATATGGTTTTCTTTGAGGTTTAATATATGATCAACTTTTTTCTAAATGCTTCATAACTCCTTAAAGTATGCTTATTTCTAGATAACAAATTTCTTTTTTTTAAAAAAGATTTTATTTATTCATAGAGACAGAGAGAGAGGGGCAGAGACACAGGCAGAGGGAGAAGCAGACTCCATACAGGAAGCCTGACATGGGACTTGATCTAGGGTCTCCAGGATCACACCCCAGGCTGCAGGCGGCAGCTGTGCCACTGGGGCTGCCCATAGAGAATAAATTTCAATAGATATTTATTAAACCTGCTTTATTAGATTATTAAAATACTCTATGTATTCTGTGTTAATCTGACCCATAAAAGATCAATAAAAGTATACTAAAATCTCATACAACAATTCCACTTCTATCAAGTTTTTCTTCTATTTGTAACAGCCTTTATTTCAAGTATTTTGAGGCTGTTACCATGTCAATGAAAATTCAAGACTATCTGATCTTCATTATGAAGTCTAACTATTTGAAAGAAAATATAATCTAGATCACATTTAATATTTTCATAGTCTTTGACTCTATTTTGTCTAAATATTGCCAAGATTACTTTTGTGTTAATTTTGCCTTTGCCTGCCTGATATATCTTGTCCATCTTTTTGATTTCAGGTTTTTCTTTGTTTTAGTCATAATGAGCCCTCTTTGTTTTAGGTACATCTCTTCTCAGTAACCTAGGGTGAGATTTTGCTTTTTTGCTGAAAAAGAGAGCCTTTTTATTTTAATAGACTAGTTCAATGATTCTTTTATAATGATTCAGCTTCAGAAAATGCCTTCACATTCACATTTGTTCTTCACATCATGTAAGGTACATGGGAAATGTCATTCCTATTTTAGACATAAGAAATTTAAAACCAAACAGGTTAAATATATCTCCCATAGTTATTCAAGTAATATGTGGCCAGTGTAAACTTAACCAAAGGATACTAAAACTAAAGCCACGGCTTTTTACAAACATAATGTACTTTTGTGGAACGTCAATGTTCAGATGGACTAATTGGTCAAATTATCCGCCTTTTTTCCGAGGAGGTGAATTTACACTGATGTTGACATAAATGATATATTTGGCTATACCTCTGTGATGTTACTTTACATTTTTCGTAGTTTATATTTCACTAGTAATTTGCTTCATATACTTGGTGATTTAGGTCAGGTGGCACATTCTTTTCTGTCTCCATTGATTTGGAAGTCATACCTACTCTCATTTCTAATAGTGGTAATAAGTATACCAAAAAGTATATCAATTGTTATTGAATGCATAACTTTAAAACTTTCAAATACTTGAAGTCGTTGAGTCCACCCTTGCTAAAATAAAGATTTATCACCATTTTATTTCCAGACTCTGTAAATATAATTTTTGGGTTTTGTTACTACTTAGTATTAAATACTAAATACTAAATATTTATTAAAGCATTATCTTTGATTACATATTGTATCTTTCAAAAGTGTAGTTTTACACTTGCATTCAGTGTTATAATTAAAGTTATAATTGTCTAAACCTCGCTTATGTTTAGTTACACTACTAATAATCAGACTCTTAACATTTATTTCTCTGTTACAGAATTCTTAAATTTGATTTCTCTCTCAGTTGCCTGGACTAGTGCTTCTTAAATCTTTGTGCATGTAAGAATCTCCTGCAAACACTGTTATGGATTGCTACATTCCATCTCCAGAGATTTTGCTTCAGGAGGTGTGGGGTAGACCAGAGAATCTCTACTTTTAACTGGTTTCCAGATAATGCTATTACCAAACACAGAACTTCCCTTTAAACTGCACTGACCTTGGCTACATCCTTAAGCCATTTCCCTAGTAAAGAGGTGCATGCTTTCTTTTCTCTTGTGTATTTGAAAGTTTCTTTCTGTTACTTTTACAAGTAAAAGACAAGTTAAGTATATTTACCTTTCTTCAGTCCACTCTCCCAAACTGTTCCAAGCATGTTTTCTTGCCTGTGCTTGAAGGATTTTTTTTCTTTATTCTTGTAGTTTAAACAAAATTGCCAAGTTGTAATAGTATGGAACCCTTTTCATTACTGTTGCCTAGAGTATGAAAAATCCTTTCAATTTGCATGCTGAGGCTTTTTTGCTTTTGTTTTTGTTTTAGCTCAGCAGAGCTTTTATTAATTTTTGATTAGTACTTGTGTCCAGTTGTTTCTATCTCAAGGACATCTATAATTCTTGGATTTGACCTAGTATTTAAGTCAATGATTTCTGTCTGCTATATTTTTAATCTTCTTTATTTCATTAATTTAATTTTATTGTCCTTTTCTCCATTTTGACAGAACTTATCGATTTTTCTATTAGTGATATGTATGTATTTTTAAATGCTGATTTCTTTTTAGTTTTCAATACAGATTTTAGATCTCTATTGCATTTTGGTTTCTTTATCATGTTTGTTCAACAAACCTACCTCTTTTTCCAAACCATCCTACTTTCTGTTAGCCTCGGCTTATTCTCTCATTTCTCTTTTTGTTTCCCGAGGTTTCTGAGGATACCAAATGAAATCCTTTCATGTTTCTGTGGTAAATTATCCTGGGAGGTCTGTTACTCTGAGTCTCTGAGATACTGTTCCTTCTTTCTTGTCCATCATGATTTAAAAATATATATATATATATATATATATATATATATATATGGAACACTTCAAGAATGTTCATGTCATCCTTGCACAAGGGCCATGCTAATCTTCTCTGTATCATTCTGATTTTAGTATATGTGCTGCTGAAGCAAACACTGTCCATCAGGCTTTTTTAAATTAATTTTTAAGTTTATCATAAAAAAGCCAGCATCTGCCAAAAAAGAGATGACAACTGTCTTTATTTATGTGTCTCTGCAGTCCGCTACAACTGGATCATAAACTGGTTTCCATAATTTCTAAGCCCAAATCCCAGTCTCTAGAAGTCATCGTGTGGAGCTCCTAGGTATGATATAGAATCTTCTAACACCACTGCCTGGATCTATGTCCAATTTGAACATAAAAAAATAGCAATTCACGGTACCCTCTTTACCTTTGGCATAGCTATAGTTCTTTAATTATAACAGATATTGACAAATATACTTCCAAAAATATTATTGTTCCCAATGATAGAAAGCAGAACAATGCTCTTCCCCAAGGATGTCTGCATCCTATTCCTAGACTCTGTGAATATGATGTTAGGTTACATGGCAAAGGAGAATTAAGCTCGTAGATGGTATTAAGGTTGCTAATCATTTGACTTTAAAATAGAGAGATTATCCCCTATTATTCAGGTGGATCCAATGTAATCACTAACATCCTTCAATATAAAGAGACAGAGAAGCAGAAAAGTTAGAGGCAGAGTGATGAAATAAAACAAAGGCTCAACTGGCCATTGCTGACTTTGAACATGGATGAGTGCTACAAGCCAAGAAGTGTAGACAATTTACAAAACCTGAAAAAGACAAGGAAACAAACTGCCCCCTAGAGACTTTGAGAAAGAAATTCAGACCGACCGACACCTTGATTTTATCCCAATGAAATCCATTTCAGATTTCAAATTTCTGATCTCCAGAACTTTAAAATAATAAATCTGTTTTGTTTTGACCACTATGTTTGTGGTGACTTATTACAGCAGCTATAGAAAACTAGTAAATGACAGGCCAACTACTATTTGTATTTTCCATATCAAAACAGAGATAGAAGTCTGCATTAATAGTGTGCTTCAAATAGCACTTACATTATATAGGAATTCTCACTCTTGTAATTAGTCTCTGCATGTGTCTAAACTAGGGAAAAGGGGGCAACTAAAAGATTAAAGTTCTTTCCTCCTTCTAGCCATAGCACGAGGGTACCATCAGTTGAAATTGTTCATTCCAGTGTCACCAAACTTCAAATTAGTAGAATTCTTTATAGGAATTTAGAATAGCGTTGACTATAAGAACTAATTTTTCGTGATAGTAACATTAATTAAGCTCATGCATGTGCGCGTGCGCACGTGCACACACACACACACACACACACACACACACACACAAACTATCCAGGCATCAATTTCATGTATTCTTCAATCTCTTCTTGGTTCAGGTGCTGATCCTCCTATTTCACTACCTTGTGAGTGAATGCAAACTTAAAAAATTATACCTTTACATAAAGTGAACATGCTTTTCTAACTATAAGAATTCTTTTCCTTTTAAATAGGTAGAACCAAGACATATCTATTTTTACTTCTGCACAGCACTACTTTTCCTTGGGGAAAGAGTAAAAGATCACATTTTTAAATGTTTCTCTCTCTGGATAGGAGGCTAGTAGGAGCAAGATTTCCATATGTTTTGATTTGCCCAAGTAGGTGTTTCTCTACTCATGGGTCTCTGGAAATCACTATGTTTACTCAAGATTTAACTCAAGAGGCTAAAGTCATGGGTAAATATTAAGAGGGAATTGACAAAGGCATATTAAGTTTTAAGGAATAAACTATGCTTTCCTAAAAGAAACATTATTACAGAGTTGACACAGAACAGCTTTCTGCCTTTCAAATATCGAAGGTCACATGAGCAGCCAACACCCTTCACTTGATCTTGTCCTGCAAAATTTCTGCACAGCAGATAAAGAGCAAAAGCAACACAATTTAATGAATAGCACAAAATCATTCATCCACATGTACTATATCTTAGGCCATCAGGCTTCTTACTGCTCCTATTATAAGAATTATCTTATGCTTGCATGCCAGACAAAACTGTTCTAAATACCTAGGTCTTTATCTGGACTAACACTGATTGGGGAGAAGGGTCCTCTACTATTAGTTTGCAAGAGAGTCTAACATTTCCCACCACTGCAACCATCAAACAAGATAAAGTCTTTTTATCTCCAAGAGGATTAAATCAAAACAGAGATAGCTTGATCTTAGAGATGAACCATTAGTCTCTATGAGATAAATATGAATATTTGATGGTATTATTTAATAAAGCTGCAGAGAACACTGAGGAAATTAAACAGGAGAATATGGTAAAGACCAGAAGGCAAATGGGAGAACCACAGAGTCATAGGTAGGACTTAAAGACACTAAGATGCTGAATTTTCTCTGAGCATGATCCTTCCCTGGTAAAGCTAAGTGGTAGGCTACTCAGAATATAGATATTCTCTACAATGTTAGCCAATGTAAACCCGATATGAAAGAAAATGAAAAACATAACTCTTTAAAAACAAATATTTTCAGTTTCATAGATACCTATGTAGCAAGTGGTAAGCACATGAGCTCTTAAGTTAAACGGTGAAGGTTTATATCCTGGCCTTGGCCCTCACAAGAATGCAATGTAACTTCTTTATGCCTCACTTCCTGCATCTGTAAATTGGGGATAATAGTGTTACCTCACTGGCTACCCTGGGAGCATCAGCTATGATAATACATGTATAGCACAGTCCTAACCCCCAATAAGAGCTGAATATAACTTTTGGTCCTGCGAAAGAGAGGCTGTAAAGCATTCTGGGTAAGAACAGGGACTCTTGAAAAACAAGACTGTCCAAGCTCTGCCATTTAATAGTTGTATGATCTTGGGTAACCTATTTAAATTCTCTGTGCCTCACTTTCCTCATCTATAAAATGAGGGTAATAATAATAATTACATCAGTGTTATCCTGGGGATTAAGTGAGTTAATGTTTGTAAAATATTTAGAAGAGTGTCTGGCACATAATATGTTTGATAATACATTATTCAGCTCTCTGGGTTTTAAAACTGTGATCATGGAAAGCCAAGGGCTCTATAGTGATACTCTAGGGGTCCATGTGGTAGAGTGGAGATAAGGAAGGTATGCTCCAGCCTCATTCTTTATCCAAATAGAGTAGCTATTTTTTATATATTGAGCCCTTGGGCAAGGTTTTCTTTGAGTAAAGGATCCTGCTATTTTAAAAGAAAAGAAAAAAGGGAATAAAGGAAGGAATGGAGGGAAGGAGACAGGGTGGCAGGGAGAGAAAGGGAGATGAGGAGAGAAAGATGGAAACAAACCTTCTATACCAAGGTGCCCTCATATAAAATACCTTTATCAGTCTTACAAATTATAAAATATTGCATATTTCATGCGCATTACCTAGAGAATTTAACGAGATCATTTTTATAGTTCCAGATAGAAAATTCTGTTTCTTGAGAAGTGAATTTTAGTAAATTCAAATTTTAAACACAAAACTTCCCAAACTTCTTTAGGGTAAACAAAAATCTCAATAATTCTAATTTAACATGCAAATCATGAATATTCACTACAGTCAAATGAATAATAAATCACCCCTGACTTCAAGTGCTTGCCATGGAAAATTGCCTATTTCCTTAAACACGCAGAAATCTGTTTTTAAATTGTTTTTTTTTATTATTTTTTGCTCTCGTGATGGTTGTGCTTTCTTCAAAGCAGCTTGGAAAATATGTCATCTTGAGTATTAAGGAACTAAAGAAGAAATGATTAAACCAAAATATGGTGTCATTAACAAAACGAAAGAGAGAGTTCATGGATCAGAACGCTAGGTTCTGGGATCTATTTTTTAAATGTCACCAGATAAAATTTATGATATAAAAGGGAGTGTTCCTTAGTCATTCTGAGTATTGTTATTTATATGAATAATAAATCAAAAGGCTCTTTATCCACTTATGGCTGAAATTATGACGTTAGGTTACTGACGAGATTTACTCCACTGATATTAATGAAACAAAAACCCAGTGAAAATACCACTGGCTTGGCCCCATGTTCTAGAAAATTAGTGAGGCTTGGTAGAATAAACATTTTGAAGGGAAAGTATAAAACTGCAAATATTTATGGCACTATTATATCATTGAGCTCATTAAGATTTCTTTTTAAATAACTACTCTTCAGTTATTATTATACAGAAAATCCAAGTACATTCAAACTTAAGAAAATTGTCTATTTCGTAATTTGATAGGACATCATAGTATTTGGCCCCAAATTGAATTATTAATATTTTACCTCTAAAGACTCACACAATGTGATTGCACTTATATAATATTTAAAATATGCACATTGTACATTGATGATACAATTAAGAAGAAATGCAAGAAAATGATTATTGCAAAGGACAGGATAGTGACTACCTCTAATGGGGTCAGAAAGGATTAAGATCAGAGGAGGTTTGCAGGGGACTTTTGGGACATTGGGAATACTGTGTCTTGACTGGATAGACTTTGACATGGGTTTTCATTTATAATTATTCATTAAACTGCTCAGACATAGCTTACGTACTTTTCTTATATTTACTATATTTCATGATTCTATTTAAAATTCTCTATTCTCAGGTGATTCTCCAGCCTATTACAGAAGTCATACTTTATACTGAAGAAAAAAGTATTCATTGTTCATCTGAAATTCAAATTTAACTGGGTATCCCATCCTTCATCCTTACCCCAGTCAAATAGCATGGTTAGATTACAAACACTTAAAAAGAAGAAGAAGGCAAAATAAACCACAGATACAATGCATTCTTAGAAGTCTTGGTTATTCCTATTTTATAACCTATTAAAATAGTAAATTTGTGTTTCATGGATTTTGACGCCCCTGGGGTTCTTGTATCAAGACTATAAACAAAAGTAGGCTACATAGATGCAAATTATAATTTGCTTATAGGAAGGCAAAGAAGCTGACCTTTATAAATACAACCATGCCTAAGAAAGGAGAGCTTCAAGTCAAAAACAAACCTGAAAAAAAAAAAAAAAACCATTTAATTTGTTCTTTTCTTTTAAAGCAGTGATTTGCCTTTTGTTATGTGCATTTGTTTGCACCAG